GCGGTCGGGCGCCTCCGGCGCTGGACCCCCCAGGGGCGGCGCCGGAGGCGCCGCCAGGCGGGTCCAGCGCGGATCCGAGAAATCCGCGCGGACCTCCGAGTTTTTACGTTTATGTCACTTTTTGTTCCCCTAGGTCTGCCATTCTGGTCCCGTGGTGGTGGTGGTCGGTGAGGTAAGTCCGAGGCGGGAATTTGCACAGGACCACCGCCTGGAGGATGAATTTCTGGGGACCGCGGCAGGCGGTTTTGTGTTTATGTCATCCTTCGTTTCTCCAACCTCGGCCCAGGGCCGCTTCTGGCAGCACCCCGGCCCGGGAAAATGGAGAAGCTCGCCAGCAGGAGGCGCAGTGCGGGGGCCGACGGACTGCGAGGCGGGGATTTATCCAGGTCCACCGCCTGGGAATTCGACGTCCTGGTGCCCCAGCGGGCGGTGGACATGGATATATATATATATATATATATACATATATATATATACATATTATATATACATATACATATATATAATACATACATATACATATATATATATATATACATATATATATATATTATATATATATATATATAGACCCCCGGGGGCCCGAATGCATCCACATCCACCGCCTGCCGCGGTCCCCAGAAATTCATCCTCCAGGCGGTGGTCCTGTGCAAATTCCCGCCTCGGACTTACCTCACCGACCACCACCACCACGGGACCAGAATGGCAGACCTAGGGGAACAAAAAGTGACATAAACGTAAAAACTCGGAGGTCCGCGCGGATTTCTCGGATCCGCGCTGGACCCGCCTGGCGGCGCCTCCGGCGCCGCCCCTGGGGGGTCCAGCGCCGGAGGCGCCCGACCGCGCCGGAGGCGCCGCCAGGGGGGTCCAGTGCGGATCCGAGAAATCCGGGCGGACCTCCGAGTTTTTATGGTGATGTCATTGTTTGTTCCCCTAGACTTACCTCACTGACCACCACCACAGGACCAGAATGGCAGACCCATGGCGGTGCTCGGCTGGGCGCGGGCGGCGCGTCTCGTCGGCAGGTCCCTTGGCTATATGCGGCGAGCTCGTGGCGTGCCGACGCCCCCCACCCTCGAGAGCCGGTGCCGCGGCAAGAGTGCAGCACCAGGAGGAATCACAGCCCGTCGGCCTTATTGGCCCACTACATTTATGTCGGGCGTGTCCCCCTACAGGGGGATTTTCGACGAACCAAAAAACAAAAATATTCCAAAAATGATCGAAAAGTATTCAAAACATAATCAGGGGACGATTCTTTAGTATTTACAAAACTGTTTGGAATATTTTCGGGGTGTTTGTATTTTCTCGTCGAAAACCCCCCTGTAGGGGGACACGCCCGACTTAACACTACATGCCTCGAGCTGTGGGTCGACGCGCGAAGGCCCCGGGGCCCGAGGTTGGGCGGACATGCCGGGTGTGAAAGGGTGGCGCGGCGCCCGGATCCCAGACACTGCGGTGCCTGGATGTCTTCTCAAGACGGGGTCCCCGGAAGTCCCGGCCACTCCTCCAGGAAGTCCCCGCAGGAGTCCCTGGAAGACGGGGCCCCTGGAAGTCCCTGGAAGTCCCAGACATGACGACGCCTGGATGTTTTTCCCAACCATCCTGTGGTGTTGGGTCCTCGTTTTGAAGAGACGTCGCCCCGCGTTCCTTCCTCCTTCCTCCTCCTCCTCCCCTTCCTCCCCCCCCCATCATCATCATCATCATCATCATCATCATCATCATCATCATCATCATCATCATCATCATCATCATCATCATCATCATCATCATCATCATCATCATCATCATCATCATCATCATCATCATCATCATCATCATCATCATCATCATCATCATTATCATCATTCCCAACCATCCTGTGGTGTTGGGTCCTCGTTTTGAAGAGACGGTGCCCAGCGTTCCTCCCCTTCCTCCCTCCTCCCCCCTCCTCCCCCTCCCACCCATTCTGGCACACCCCTCACACGTTTCGTGGCCCCATAGGGAGCTCCACCGAAGGCCCCAGTGGCTGCGCCCGCATGCGGTTCCACCCCCCATTCTGGCACACCCCTCACACGTTTCGTGGCCCCATAGGGAGCTCCACCGAAGGCCCCAGTGGCTGCGCCGCATGCGGTTCCACCCCCCATTCTGGCACACCCCTCACACGTTTCGTGGCCCCATAGGGAGCTCCACCGAAGGCCCCAGTGGCTGCGCCCGCATGCGGTTCCACCCCCCATTCTGGCACACCCCTCACACGCTTCGTGGCCCCATAGGGAGCTCCACCGAAGGCCCCAGTGGCTGCGCCCGCATGCGGTTCCACCCCCCATTCTGGCACACCCCTCACACGTTTCGTGGCCCCATAGGGAGCTCCACCGAAGGCCCCAGTGGCTGCGCCCGCATGCGGTTCCACCCCCCATTCTGGCACACCCCTCACACGTTTCGTGGCCCCATAGGGAGCTCCACCGAAGGCCCCAGTGGCTGCGCCCGCATGCGGTTCCACCCCCATTCTGGCACACCCCTCACACGTTTCGTGGCCCCATAGGGAGCTCCACCGAAGGCCCCAGTGGCTGCG